ACAGTGTATGACGCATGATCTACAGACACTTCTAGCACGTCAGATGAAAGTCTTTCGTTGTCTTCGTTGTGATCTTCCACCTCGTGCAGCATTTCTTCCAGAGAGAGAAGAGATTCCACCACTCCGTCAGCTACATTGCCACCCTTCGGACTCTTTGCCAGGCTATAGAAGCTGAGGCATCTATAAATAAACAATGCATATTTTACTCACAACAGCAGTCAAACATAATCAGATGCGTAACAAGTTTATACGACATGCAACATAAGGCGTAAAATTTGATAATAAAATACCTCGTGATAACAACAAACTGTGCAGGGGTTGGGTGATCATTGCCACCACCTGCCTGCCGCACGATTCCGAAACAGCGCTCAAGGCAGTCTTGGCTTAGGCGAGCCGTCATGAGATACTTGAAATGTACTTCCTCACACAGGTACTCCAGGAGGTGCTTCGTACTTTTCAACGTCACACGCAAACCCACTGCGGTACTTTTGCTTAGAAAGCCAAGTCCTCTTGCGTGAGCTTCCCACAAATCGAGGAACTTTAGTGCCTGGTCAAGCACAGCTTCCTTTCGGCTGTGAAGCCTGAAATAATGTTTATGTATGAAGCGTAGAAACTTTGTCTGGACTAATTATCGACAGGGTAAATATTTCACTCTTACCGTAAAGCTTCTGCTGGAAACCTGGATGTCATCACCTCGATTAGTTCCGCCATGAGACCAATAACGAGTCTTGTTGGCTCAACATTTGTGTATTGCTCCTCGATCTGATCTTTGTAAAAATCTAAGCACCGAGTCACTTGGGCACTGAAAACATGAAATGTTAAGTCCACACGCATTTTCTCGAATCCATTTGGAAAGATATGTGATCGAGTCAGCTTTGGTGCCACTTTCAAGGTGATGGCACTGCTGTCAAGTTTCCACATGGTTGACACATGATCCCAGTGGGCCTGTAAAATTTCCACATTGCATCAGGAACTGTTAAGGATTCAAATTAGCATTGAGAAGTACGCATTATGCATAAAAATTCCACAGAAATATTAGAGCCAACTTGCCCTTCCGTTGTGGGTGTTGAAGCCCTGCTTCATCATTGTGTTTCTCACGCACTTCATGAGGTGAGGGAAGTCCGATATAAAGTACAAAAATCGGTGTTTGTTGCACGGATGAACAACTCTGCACTGAATGTCATTGAGGGTGGCGCGTATCCCCAGGATGTTCCACATAGATCTGTTCCAGGGCGCACCATCACAGCAAATGTAATCCACGTAGAGGCCGGCTTGCTCACACAAAATTGTAGCTTCTACCAAAAGTTTTGTCAACAGCCTGGCTTTTACGTTCCCGCTGGATGAAAACACACCTGAAGAGAAATAGAGCATTACAAAACGCTTCGGCATATGTGCCTTAACAGTGCAAAAAATATATTACCAATGATTTGTGTCCATTTCCCCACAAATGGTTGGAACATTATGACAAGCCCATGGTCAGCTTTGCGGTGTCTTTCATTGGCATCGGTAAACTTGCCGAGGTCGACAAAGCCTTCAATATTGCTGGACGACTGCAAGTCCAGATGAGCAGAGAGTTTCATTTCATCCACTACTATGCCCCCATGCCTCTCCATTTCATCCATGTCTTTAACTTTTTTCTTCAGACAGCTCAGGAGTTTGGTATTAAACCCATAAGCAGCAGCGAATCCCTGTAGATAAAAACATTAGGAACCATCTCTATACTGCACACCATATGCAATCACATACCTTGATGTATTTTTGAAGGCAAGCACGGCTTGGCAGGACAAGAATTCTGTGTGCTCTAAGATGCTCATACAGTCGTGCACTTTTCATTCTGAGGATGATGCACTCAAGGAGCCATTCTTTATTGTAGTTATATCCGCGCAAGGACCTTCGTTTGGCAGCGTCAAAACAAGCCTGCACCGCAGCCCGTTGCTTTTTTGGAAGAAGTTTCAGCTGAAATAATTAAGAAGCTATTAGTAATGAATCTATAACAACTTAATGGGACAGTGTACCTTTTCCTCTAACACAGATGCAATGATTTGTGAAGTCTTTTCTCGCATCTTCTTCAGGGCATCCTGCAAGGTAAGCAGCTTCATTTTCTTTTTCTTCAACGTACGAACAGCCCATTTCAGTCGTTGTGCAGCTGTTCTTGCAAGTGGCCGCTTAGTCTTTTTTTTTTTTAGACGGAGCAGACGAGCCTTCAGAAGGTTTCTGCATTTTCTGCAGGCAGTACAACGTCCAGATGAGCCATCTGTAAAGTGTACCATAATCGGTGGATAAGTCTAACCAAAGCAGGGACAGGTATCTACAGGCTCAAATAAAATATTTTAGGCAGGGTTTGCGCAACTGCGATATCTCATAATACCTTGTAGCGAAATCGATGAGGAACCATCGCAAGAAAGGGAGAAGACACGATTTTGAGATAGCTTCGCCTTGCTTTCCAAATTCAGTGGTTGGAACTCTTCCATTGTCCCAATTCCTACGCAGGGTGTCAATGTGTCTGCATACTTGAGAAGATCCTGTGCTTGGCTCACTGTCTGACAGCCACTTTTTTTGAATAGGAACCCGTTCAGAAAGATGCTGCACTGAGCAGCTGCTCCTTCCTCAGCTTCAAACAACACTATCTTGTTGTGAATAACAGGAGGTGTTAAATCTCTGTCCAATTTAGCGGTCTGGTAGCATAATGCATTCGTTTGCTCGAACTTCTGCATCGACCACAACTCGCTAGGACGGTGAAGCATAGCACTTAAGGAATGCAGCTGTTCGGTCAACATGACGTTCTGTTCTGAAACGATCACGTCATGGTCAATCGCTGAGCCTTCTTCGACATTGTCGTGGTTCACACTAATTCTTTTACTCGAAACAGCACTTTCAGCCACGCTTTTCCGTCTCTTTCTCTCCTTGGGCAGAGCTTTCGTCAAGTATTTAGGCAAATTAGGAAAAATCGTCGGCACGGCGTCATTTGTTAAGGTCGGCACAGCGCGCGGCATGTATACATCTTCACCATTAATCCTATGTTTGAACGTACGCACGACAAATCTGTGAAAAAGAAAAGAGAAAAGGACAGCCAATTGGTTATGTTGCAATGCAGCATGTGACACGTGGAACGCAAGTAAGCAAAATTGGTCTCTTGCTCGGGTGTGCGAACACCGTGCCTTCTATTTTTTGTACATACCTTGGGTCGAAGTGCTTCTCGCACACTGCGGAGTTCTCGTCAAGCTGTTTGTCCGCTCTTGGAATAGCACGAATCCATTTGTCGAACAGCACACTACACGTGGGAGCTCGGAAAAGGGAAACTTTCTCTCCTGAAGAATTATAATATCCAGTGTTGCAGCCAGGCACAAAGCACCAACGTTGCGTCTTCTTTTTTGTCGTTGACATCTTCGGACATTTCAGAGAGACTCAACGCAATCACCGATCGACGACATACTTGTAAGACAGTGCGACTGCTAACGAAAAAAATTATGGCGCGACTGAAGCAAACCCAGCGAAGTGCGCCGCTCACTACCCGCGCCGCTGCCATCAGCGCCCCTAGCGGCATCGGCGCGCCGAAGGACCCTCTCCGCCAAGCGAAAGGCGCCCCGCTCATCACACCTCCCCATTCTAGCCACCCTAACCGTGTCTAAACTTCGTTCTTCTGGCCTGCTTTTGGCTCCGTGTGGCTTGAAGCTGTTTTCTCATGAAACAAAAATCGGCAAATGTTCAGCGATTGCGCTTCACCACCCTATTTTTTTTTAATTACCTTTCCAAATTGGATCAGGAAGCTTAAAAAAGTTGATTTTTTTTTCAAAACACAGCAATAAACGAAGCCGCAAGTACGATTCGTCACCCGCAAGTACGAAGACTAGGCAAATTACTTTTGAGACTAGGCAAGTTACTTCTGAGAAACTCTATCCCCCGTTTTCTAGAACGTCCCTTCACTCAACGCTTCGCCTTCACTTGAGAAGGCCGATAGAAGCGCTCTTTCTAGGCACGGCAAGTCACTGCATATTAGCGATAATGTGGTGCGATTCTCGAGCAGTGCAGCGTCAATTTCAGCCGAGCAGCGGCGCAGTGCTCAACTCTGTCAAGTGAAGGGTGAAAGTCAAGTCGAGGATCGTTTGTGAATACCGGGATATGTCTGCAACGGTCAGGTGGCAACGGTGCTGGAATGTAATGTCGCTCCCCGCGCCTCCCGGGAAGTTGTCTACAGGACCCCCCTTTCATGCGGTGCTTGTTATGTCGGAACGACCGGAAGGTGTCTAAACAATCGGCTGAGAGAACACGCTAACAATGTTAGAAACGGGAAAGATGGTTTTCTTGCTCTGCACTGCACTGAGTGCAATTGTGCGCCCCTTTTCAAGGACACAGCGACGCTCTACAAGCACAGAGATGAGCGCACCCGAGTCATTGTCGAGGCGGCGCAGATGGCCCGCGAACAGGTGCCTTGTATATTAGCAAGCCCTCCGTGGCTCTGTCCGAGAAGGAACTCAGGTTCCTCGAAGGTTTTGGTGCGCGCAAGTAGTTATATTATCTTTACTTTTCTGTTTCGTTTTCTTATAAATTTTTCTTTGCCGTTTTTCTGTGCTTTTGTTTTTCTCTCACTCATGTTCTGCTCTTTGTGCCATATGTTTTTTTTTGTCACATGGTTACTGTCTCCTCTATATATTTTCGTGCTCTGCGCAATAAACTCAGTTGGAAGTTAGCGCTTGTGTCTTTCGTGTCCTTCTTGTCTCTGTGTCATCGTTTTGTTCTCGCGCTATAACTACCGTCATGCCATACCAACCAGCCCAAGCTGACACACTTCAAGTGTGCAGCCTCTGCGAAGAGAAACCGAAACTTGCGGTTTTGACCCTTCGTGTCTCGTTGTCACCACAAAAGTAGCAATAAAATTATTAAGCATACTGCAATTTAATAACTATTAATACGCAATAAAACAGTTTTTATAACATAAAACATTAAAATTAGCTATAAAAGTATTTTATTTTATTACCAAGTTGGTGGTCAATGTTGCCGTGTGAGGTTGCCGTGGTCGCTGACTAGCTGGTGTGGTGTCGCCGCTGTCGCTCCTTTTCGCTTGTGTACGCCGCAGTGTGTGACCAGAGGTATGTAACCTCGCTTTTAAAATCAGTTTTAATCCACCGATTCCGTTTGCTTGTCGTGGGTGATTTAAGGAGTGATTGCTGCAGCATGCGTGTTGCTTTAATACGTGTTGTTACTTAAAAATATATACCTGTGTCGAAGCGCAGCCGCCTTCGTTTTTGTCCGATTGCGGGCGTGCATGATGCACTTCAAAAGTGTCCTCGTCGCTTCCCTTCTACCTGGAAGCGTGCGAATCGGTACGGGTGCTAAAGTGATGCACACATCTCGGCGTTCCCCGGGCGCGCTCTTCAATGTGCTTGAGGGGTCATGATGTGCCGACATTGAAAATGCCTTTGTGTTCGGCTCGGTAGACAAGAAGCAATCTCGTTCGTAGCTGCTTGGTATATAACGCGCATTTGCCGTTCACGTATTACGTGGCTCCACATGCGTTTACGTGCACACAGCCTTGACACGCCGTATCAATGCACGTTCTCTTGACAGGTGCAGTGCTGAAGAAGCGCCGTCGCTATGGCGAAGACCAAGAATCACACCAATCACAACCAGAGTAAGCTGCTACCGCTAGTGAATGTCCATTAAATTGTTTTGGTTCGTAATGCCATCTCTCCACCGTATCTTTCGAAAAAAGTCGTCGCAGATGCCCTCGATAAATGCTCAGCATCGCATTTGTGCAACGCTATCTGATGATGATGATAGGTGGCTGTTCCCTTTGAATTGGGTGGTCACACAGCCGGTGAAAAAAAAAAAAAAAAGGCGAGAGGTAGAAAGTCTCGCAAGAGACAGCGGGGCACACACCTGTCGCATAAGTCTTTTTGCACTATAGAAGTGCCGTGTCTGTCCTGTCGGTCCCTATCTGTTTGCGTTCAAAAGCGGCAGCTGTTCGTGTACTTTAGGTAACCGGGAATAGGAATGCCCTTCTCAATGCGAGACTGATGTCAGCGATGCGACCTTGTTTCTGACGTCAATGACCAACCTAATGGGTAAAAAGAAAACAAGATAATGTAATATCTTGTGAAAAGCCCTGCGTATTTTGCAGCATTCAATAAGCACTCGGCGATGCAGTTTGCAAAATTCAATGTTACTAGAACACACAAGGTCCGTACGAGTCACCTGCACCACGTGAACCAGTTCACGAGGTGCTGCACCCTGCCATTCATTTCAGCAGTGCAGCACTGACTACCTCTGGACCCTGCCATTTGTTTCAAAAGATGAAGCACTGGTTCGCGATTTTCCTGCACCTCCTACGCTGGAGGTGCCTGCTTGGTGCAGCCGTGCGTGCAGCTGAGCAGACGACACAGCGCTTTGGCATAGGCGCGCCGTACCCACCTCTTCTGTTTGATTCATAGAAGGAACCACCGGACGTTTTTATTAGGAATGGCATGAGCGGTTCGAAAATTCAATTTTCGCATGGCTAAATTGGACAGGTTGTACCATCTCGCAGCACCCAGTTGGACCAAGCACGATGCAATTTTAAAGGCTACAGCTGAAAATTGTTCAATGGTTGTTGTTGCTGCTGTGGCTCCCACTGCTTTACTTTCCTCTGCTGCTACTGTAGTGTCGGCGGCCGCGCATTAAAGCCAGGAAATGCGTCCGGCAACAGAGACATCGGACATTACAATTGGGGTGTGTAATTTGAAGTGCATTAACTCGATGCATGCCACTAAAACGCGATTTTATTTCAAAATAAGCTCTTTCTTGGCACAAAAGTAACACTACGAGTTTTCTGAACTGCCATTTCAACAATCATCGTGAACTTAAGTTGTCTTTAGTGTCCCTTTAACTGCATCGGTGCGCGTGTGACACATTTAAAACAGTGCTGTTGCTCTGTTTTAAAGCAGAGTTCCAACAAGCTGCCCGTGGATCAAGGCAGTGACAGCATGGATAACAGTTACTAATGACATAAATGCTGGTTAAACTACTAGTATTTCCCCAACGAATTCCACATTTGTCGGTTTTTAGTGTAGGCATGGAGCCCCTGCATTCATGGCCTCTGTGTTCGAGTGCTATTGTACTTGCCAGAAATGCATTGTTCAGAGGGATAGTGTGCTGTAGTTTGTCAATGCATCTCCGTTTCAGATCGCAAGGATCACAGGAATGGTATCAAGAGGCCCAAGAAAGGAAACAAGCCTTCCATGCGCGGGGTAAGGCACACTTTTGTGTTGGCAGGATAGTATAGGGAGCTTGCATGAACGGTGGCAGTGCTATGAACTCTGGGTAGGCAGTCATTTTTTTGTCAGAGACAGCCAGGGAGTGCAGCAGCGCAGTCGTGTTTGCAAGCGTTGGCGTACCTTGTAGGCGTGATCGAGTGCGATCGCGACACAAATTTAGCTCCAAGTGTCATGCACGATATCGGCCTCCACGCAAGACTACACCGAAGCGTTGTGCCAGAATGACCTCGAGCGGTACGAAGAAACGAGAATTTGCTCCGAGTGACTCATTCACGCTCCCTGCGGGCGACTGTGCAAACGACGTGTACTTGTGGCTGCACGTCGACAGCTCCGACATTCATGAATTTTTCGTTCCGTCTAGTTTGAAAACCCGGGAGCAGATGAAGCCCAAAAAGGCCCTCAAGGGTCACAAGTTTGTGTAGAGTGGCCAGGTACGGTAGCCATGGGTGAAGAAAGTCGCCACCAACACCGTGGTCGTCGTCCCTCAAGTAAGACGTGTTAAGTTGAGGAGCGCTCGTCTCGTGCACGCGTCGTACTCCAGGTAGAATAACAGCGCAGTGGGATGAGAGCAGGCTTCGTTGTTCCCAGCCATGCATGCGCAGTGCGCGTCAAGGACCTCGCCATCACTCTTGCCCATGAACAAGACGTCGACAGGGGCTTGTTAACACACTGGAAGTTTAACCTGAACAGAAACAAACTTGAGAATTTACGGCTAAATTGAGGGATAAATTACTTGATCACACCTCTTACTTGAGTGACGACGATTACGGTATCGGCGGCGAATTTCTTCATTCACGACTCCCACAACCAGCCATTCGTCACAAAGTTGTGGCCGTTGATTGCCTTTCTCGACTTCAACAGCTCCCGAATAATAATCTCGTTCTCGGAACGAGAAATGAATATAGAAGATGTCGACGCGCGGCAACAAGTGCACGTCGCTGACGCAAAGCGTGAATGGGTCCACTCAGAGCAAATTCATGTCTCTTCTTTGTACCACTCGAGGTCTTCCTGGGACAGTGTTGCGGTGTAGTTTTCCGATTAGACTAGCATCGTGCACAACTCTTCTTGGAGTTAAATTTGCGTCGCGCTCGATGACACCTGGAAGCTACGCCAACGCTCGCGAACACGACTGCGCTGCTAAAATTTTCCACCTCTGACAAAAAAATGGCTGCTTACACAAAGTGCATAGCGTTGCCGCCGTTCATGCAAGCTCCCAATTCAAGCTAGGCCAATTGCAAGGAGCGCTAAAGCTATGAAAGGACTTCCTACTGGTGGCCTCAGAGTGAAAATGTGGTTATATAGCAGCAGTGTTTGTCACAGATCTCAATAGTGTGTGCTATTGGCGATGAATTGAGAGGACACCAGGCGGCACAGCATACATGAATTAATAACAACCAAGGGTAGACCAAGAAAAAGCTTAACACTCTAAACAAATGAACAATGAAAATCTTACATGGAATGAACTAACTACAGGAATATTTAAAAATAAGCTATTAACTCAATTCTCTGTCCACTTTAAACCCCACTAGAATCCTTCACTCAAGTCTGGCCACTCTAGCCTCACAGTTGAGTTGTCACCAAAATGGAACACTTACTTGGCTGTGTGCATCACTAAGTCCAACCTACATTGTGTTGATTCTGTTGTGGATCTAGCAAACAGTACTGTTGCAATCGGTGCTCCGATTCAAAACTGTTCGTCGCGCTGACTTAGCCTTCTCCCGGTTGTGTCGTTAATATGGCAGTAGGGCCTCCAGAACTGAATGCCCGCTGCGCCTATCAACCGAACTTTTTTCTCTCGTAGCCATGCAGACAATTCCAGCTCATTGAACTGTAGTTTTCCATTGCAGCTGCTGTCATAGGCGTTGAGCCGTGTGCTCCTCCATGCCTGTTCTGTGTGCTTCTCCGCCTACTTGGTCGTCCATATGCCGTCTTACTCATGACAGTGTTTTTGGTGCACGGTTATTTTGCTAGTTCTGCTGTTTCAAGGCAACAGAAGATTTCCTGCCTAATCGACATGGGTGAAAGCATTGAAGCTACAGACAAGCTTGTTGCATATGTCAAGTGGCTGACCTTGATTTAAAACCACGAGGGTTGTTTGCATAAGCAAACTTTACTGGGTTTTCAATCGTGAAGATTTAACTGAGCGACTGCCACAAACATTCTTTGCATTTTTGTGTCCCCCTTTCAGGCAGTTTCTACTTGTTGCATGTTTTTATAATTTCGAACAAGCATGCTTACATGCGTAGTAAAGGCATATTGGAGTGAATGCCACTATGAAATAGCTTAATAAACCGTGTACATGGCAGTGCAGAGCAGCGCACTGATAATTGCAGTACCTCATTACAAGTGATAGCTCATCCACTAAAACAACCTAACAAATTGTCCCTCGAACAAAAACACACTACAAGCACAGGTGCAACATGCGCTCCATCATAGCTAAAACACAAGAAGCTTCTACTCGGATGGTGAATGTGATTATAACGGCAGTAACAGGACCCACAGGACAAGTAGAGACACTTCCCCTACAAAGGCATCTGCGAACACTAGCTAAAAGATACAGAAACATACATCGGGTTGCATTTAACCATTAACACAAAAAGTAGTTCGAAAACACCACCTGAAAGTGTTGTAACCTAAGGTCTTCCCGACTCAAACACCATGCACAGTAAAGGCAACGAACTCTAGATGCATTAAAATTTCCAAAGGCCTTAAAATTAAGGTTAGATGTGCTGTGGGTACCCTACTACCTAACCTATTAGATGAATGGAACGGCATTTTGTAAAGTGCATCTTAGTGATTAAAGGTCCCTAGACACCAAATTTAAAAACTTAAAGTGCTCGTGTTGTTTGATAACCTGCATGCAGGGGCACCTCTGACAGATCATTAGTGACGAGCTGGAACGGCATTTTAGAAAGTGCTGTTCCTAGTGTACAGTTGCAGTCGGCATTTGAGTATTGTTCAAGGACTATTGTCATCCCTCGCTCTGTTTAGGCTGATTACGCCACGGCTTTTTTTTTTTTTCAGTCCGAGGGGGACACGCTCAGTTTCTTATTGTATTTATGCGGGCGTTTCGAACGAATGCGAAATCCTTCTAAATTAACACCCGTAGCATTATTTGTATGGCGCATTGTAGCATTTACGATATAATTTCGGCATTACCAGACACCAAGATACAAATTACTGTTAAAAACTCCAAACTTTCGCTGTCAGAAGTCCAACAGACATTGTAAAACAACATTGCGACAATCGGCATTCTCTAATAGCCAAACAGCTTAATAGTATTTTAAGATATCTTGAGAGGAGACTTAAGAACTGACTCAATTTATAGATCGTAGAAAAGATTAATGGCTGATCAAGGATAGTTGCAGTAGAATCCATACAAACATTACCCTGAATACAGCCAAGTGCAGTGACAACAAAATCGACGGGTCGCATAAACAAGTTCATAGAGATTCGTTGTTGTGACATTTTGTGAATAGACTACGAAATTCAGTGAGGTCTGAATTACGACCCATCCATTGTTCCCTGCAAGCACGTTGATGGGGCTCTCCCTAACTCAGAAGTATCTGGCCACACACCAAGTGAATATATTTTCTCTTGAATAACAAGCACAAAAAGTATGCAGAAAGTTTGAAGTTGTGCTCGGCGTGCGAGTTATACAAGAATTTCAATTCGTTTCACGTCATGCTATACCAATAATGCAAGGAAGGCCGCCAGTGGATGTTCCCCCCCCCCCGGTTTGCAGTTGGAGGTGCTAGTTAAATGCAGGGATGAGGGGCAGGGTATACACGAGAAAATAATTTAAATAGACGACCCTTGCAGGGTGCGAAAGCTCCGCCCTGCCATAGCCTTGAGCAAACCACTGGAAAGGTGTAAATTTGCGAAGACTAAACTGCAGCTGTTAATAAATTTATCTGCATTTTAAATGCACATTTCTTCCAGAATGCACCTACTTCTCCGCACCATGCGTGCTGCATATTGCCTGTTCTGTTCTCATTGTAGTGCTGGTGTATCCTTTGCAGTAAAAGGAATCTGCTGTTTCGTGGGGCAGAGCTCTTTGGGGTGATCTGGAACAGCTTGGATTGTTGGAACAAAAGCGTCCTGAATCACAACTTTCTCGCGACTTGTGTTGGTACTCGCCTCTGTGTCTCATGCAGGTGGACGCCAAGTTTGTGCGGAACATGCGGTTTGCCAAGAGGCACAACAAGAAGGGCCTGAAGAAAATGCGTGCGAACGAGGCACTGCAGAAGGAGGCTGCACTGGCGGCAAAGAAGGCATTATAGTAATAATAAACGTGTCATCACATTCGAGGAGGCTTGAGGCAGTAGTTCTCTTTTTTATGAGATGCATCTTACAAAGCGGGGCACCTCGTATTCATTTTCTTATTAACCCATATTTTACTGTCGGTGCACTGGTGTCTCTTATATACGGGTTCGACTGTGCAAGCACGAAAATGTGGGATATCCTAAAACATACTGCAACGAGATATGTCGAGACGTGTAAATAGCCACTGAATGGGCAGAGGCCTTTTATCTATATAGTAGATGCAAAACAGTTTCTGGACGACTTCAATAGGATCAAAAAGTAAGCACTCGCATCTGAAAAACCGAATTTGGCTTTTCTGTGCATGGCTTATGCTAATCCCATGCCCATATTTAAGCAAAATTGCTGCCAAACAACTCCAATTGTGACGCCACTTGGCGTCTACTCAAGATGCTAACACAAATCAGTCGTTCTGCTCTTCAATCCCAAGCTTTGATGAACAATGCCTGTCAATAATGCTCTTCCGATACTGCAATTCTCATACTGTGTGGAAAGCATTTCTCAATTCCTTCAGCACGCCTATTGGCTGTTTGCTCTAACTCATTCCATCCCTCTGTCACGTAACAGAACGCTTACAAAATACCCCGTCGGCTGAAAAAAACAGACCATGTGAGCGCTCACACTGTCGTCTGTTTTTTCCTGTTTTTGACTTCATAGTATCTTTCCTTCATGCTAAAAGTGAGCTGCACTAAAGCAATATTTTATCATGCACAACTCGCCCAGTCAGCAGTACTTCGTGAGTACACTTATATTTGTTTTGGCAGATTATGACACATATTGAATACATGGGTAAACAACCACAGTCATTGCAATGTGTGTACAGGTGCCCGTCTCTGTATCGAGCTACGCTTTGTGCTCGCGTAATCGATCATTGATACAACGGCCGTTTGGCCGATGTATTTTTTGCCACATGTAAGTAGCAAGATGTACATTACGCTTACGATGCATGCCACGAAATGATGGTGGTGTTCTTTCTGGCATTCTGCTGGCTTTCTAGAGGCTAGGTCGGTAAGTGGCTTAGCTTAACTGGTGCTGAAAAAAAAAAACCTTCACGCCAACCTGTCCTGCTACTTTCTTCAGCCCGGTCTGAGACCTTGTGTATATACGAGATTGCCGCCACCTTCTCCTTTCTTCTAGATGTAGAGGCTGATTCACCTTTCGGGTGGTGAACTTTCGTGTGCACCTTGCCCGCCACAAGAGACGAGCACCTGCGTAGGGTATCCTGCCGAACCCAGCCTTGCTGCTTGTTCATGCAGGCTGGTTTTCACTGTGAATACAAGATTTCAGGAAGGCATTTGTGTCTACACATTGCAACGACTGTGGTTGTTCACTCATCCATTCAACATGTATCATAATCAGCGGGCACAGAGATAAGTGTACTCACGAAATCATCGAAGCAAAGACTATTATCATAGAAGGGGATAATTGTATCAGCTCACTGTCGTTACTGTGATAATAATCGGAGAAAGAAATGCTGTTCTTGAATTCGTCAATGCACTGAAAATGTCATGTGGCCAAAGATGTATACCCTATATGAAGAGCGGATTTTAAATAAAAAAAAACTGGTTGCTAGACTGGCGCCCTATCCTGTCTCCTCCTTTTCTTTCCTTGTCGGAGTTTCGCCACAAATATTATACTAATCTATGAATTTCTAACTCGCCCGAGAAACGGCACAGATACATTTCTAGTTAAAAGGGCTCTTTTAATGTTGTCTTCTATAATCCGACTGTCATAGTTTCATGCATCGTCAACGCCAGGTGCCATTGCTGTACACTGACTTTTTGCATCCGGACCAAAGTTTTACCCCAGGAAGCGAGGCTGTTGTTCGGCGGTCTCGAACCACCAGCTGGACACAGGCTCAGATGATTTTGCAAAATACTCGGGTTGGAATGGCGCTAGCAAGCCTGTTTCTATGCAAGCCTCCTGTCAGTATACGTTCGGAGCGCCTTGCCAGGACCCCAAGCAAGCAAGGGGCTAAGAGAACTCGACAGCGTTGCAAGCTGTAGCACCGAATTCCATTGGCAACGATTGCTGGGGGGTTTACGAGCAGGAATGCCAAAGAAACGAGCTGCACCAGCAAGCAGCGTGCGCGTCATTGGAGATGTCGACCTACCAGGAATAGCGATGCGATTTCTAGGCCTTGGACCAAAGTTCATCTTACCACCAGGGAAAACGGCGCTAGAGCTTCTCGCCATGGCAAGAGAAGTCTCCAGAAAACCTCCGGATAGTGAACATAAATGATGTGTAGGACTATCTGCCGATGTCGTGTCACGTAGTATTCTATCATTGCTTAGACACCCAGTAAGGCAAGTTGTTAATGTTCTTTGCACACAATCTGCACGATTACTACCTGCTGATGAAAAAGGTGGTTTTGTTGTCTTGCCGCAGCTGCAATACGACTCAAAAGCCCTTGAAACAGTCACGTCTGTTCTAAAAGAAAGTAAGGATGTCTCACTACCCAAACTTAAAGCTAAAGCAAAAAAATTATGCATCACGATGGGCCTTTCTTGCTTGGAGAAAGATGTACATGGCAGCGAGAACATTGGCTTGAGGGTGATGTTCAGCGCTAAAATGCACAAGCAGCCCCGCCGCAGTGGTCTAGTGACTAAGGTACTCGGCTGCTGACCCGCAGGTCGCGGGTTCATATCCTGGCTGCGGCGGCTGCATTTCCAATGGAGGTGTTGTAGGCCCGTGTGCTCAGATTTGGGTGCACGTTAAACGTTGAAGAACCCCAGGTGGTCAAAATTTCTGGAGTCCACTACGGCGTCTCTCATAATCATATGGTGGTTTTGGGAGGTTAAACCCCACAAATCCATCATCAAAATGCACAAGCAGAACTGTCCTCTTGTCAGAACTGTCCTCTTGAGTTTGAAAATCGGAGAATGGGACATGGCAGAAACACATTGCGAAGTTCCTGCAAGACAAGTTAGGGCTCCTTCCCATAGAAGATCCCTACTTGCTGAAGAACTCTGGACGATGTAGCTGCACTCAACAAGAGCCTGAATGCATGGTCAATTGATATTAAAAACCTTTATTATTCACTTCCACACAATCAATTGTGTACATGTGTTAAGGAATGCATAGATACTTTGGAGCAATTGCATTTCAAAACACATCGGGCTTGACCGTAGCAAGCTTTATTGAGCTACTCACATTTTATCCACATTCAACCCACACACAATGGAATGACAAAGTGTTTATTCAGAAACATGGTGTATGTATCAGCTCCTGCTTGGCACTAGTACAAAGTGACCTGTTTTTAGCTGAGAAGGACAAATGTTTAAGTAACAACCTCCAGGGCACAAATGTGATAATTTTTAGATTTGTCGACAACTACATAATCATCTGTGACAAAGCCCTAGGCAACAATGACCAGGAAGCAGAGATTTTAAGAAATCTTCCGGAATTGCATCGCCCCACTCGTTTTAACCCATGAATCAGTGGTAGACAATGCTTTGCAGTTTCTTGATCTTCGACTAACCTTTAGCAAGAAAAACATGCTTGCTGGGCCTAACACCCCCGAGCCAGCAAGTCATTTTTGATGCACAATTCATCCCATTTAAAGTTGGTTAAGTGTGGTATTGTCAACCTCTGCTTCACAAATGCCATCCAGAAATTTTGTATTCACTCAGTGGAAACCAGCCTGCATGAACAAGCAGCAAGGCTGGGTTCGGCAGAATACCCTACGCAGGTGCTCGTCTCTGTCGTGGGCAAGGTGCACACGAAAGTTTGCCACCCCAAAGGTGAATCAGCCTCTATATATAGAAGAAAGGAGAAGGTGGCAGTGATCCCGTATATACACAAGGTCTCGCACCGGTTGAAGAAAGTAGCAGGACAGGTTGTTGTAAAGGCGGCGTTTTTCAGCACCAGTTAAGCTAAGCCACCTCTGTAAGCTTACTGACCCAGCCTGTAAGAAGCCAGCAGAATGCCAGTAAGAAGACCGCAATCCTTTTGTGGACTGCGTCGTAAGCGTCGTGTAAATGTTGCTACTGACATGTGGCAAAACATACATCGGCCAAACGGGCTGTTGTATCAATGATCGATTAAGCGAGCACAAAACAAACGTAGCTCGATACAGAGATGGGTACACCTGTCCACACATTGCAATGACTGTGGTTGTTCACCCCTGTATTCAAGATGTATCATAATCAGCCGGCACTGAGATAAGTGTACTTGCAAAATCATCGAAGCAAAGACCATAATCATGGAAGGGGATAATTGCGTCAGTCAATGCACTGACACAATTCATCAATGCACTGAAAATGTCACATGGCCAAAGATGTATATGTGAAGAAAGGATTTTTAATAAAAACTAATTGCTAGACTGGTGCTCTGTCCTGTCTCCTCCTTTTCTTTCCTTGTCAGAGTTGTGCCACAAACATTACATTAAGCTATAGGTCCGTTCGATTCACCTGCACCACGAGAACCAGTTCACGAAGTGCTGCACCCTACCGTTCGATTCAGTGGTGCAGCCTAGCGCCCTCTGCACACCGCCGTTCATTTCAAAAAGTGCGAGAGAGGTGCAGCCTTGGTTCACGTTTTATCCCGCGTTTTATTGCACCTCTGGTCGTGGGGGTGCCGGTACAGTGCCGGCGTGGTGCAGCGCAAGCAGACGATTGCAGCAGCAGCAGCAGCTCTGGCATCAATGATGGCGGTGAGAACAAACGTAGACGGCGTGGAAACACTCCTGACACCTATCCTTAGTGAAGACGGAAGCCGAATTCCACAGGGCGACGGTTTTGCCTGCAGTGCACCAGGTAGGCATACACCTGTTTAGTCTGCTGCCTGATTATTATTCATAGCGCCTGTGATAATAGAGTTCAATAAATATGTGAACGTTTCTACACCAAATTAGGCTGGATGCCAGTGCGCTGCTTGGTACTCGGACGGGCGTGTAATGTGCATTCGCATATTTTGGCACCACAATCACTTTGCAGGCACTCGTGTGGACAGCATTCGCTAACACAAGGCCGTTTCACAAGGCTTTAAAAACGTGAACTGCGACGTGTTGTGTACGTTTTATTGCCTGTGCATAATGTTACTACGGGCATGTTGAGAAGTTTTAATGGCCACGTTAGAGAGATTTCAGGGTAAGCAAGTTAACCCTGAAATATCTCGCAAGCACGTGTACGCGGTCAACAGTTTTGACGTTGCCTTCCGTCGTCTTTTGCGGAGCCTTTCAAGCCGTTCCATTCTTCACGTTGTGGCTCTTTGTTAGGTCCTCAGTATTTTTTATCTCAATATATTCGCAATCTTCACAATGTTGTGTATATTAAATGGCGGTTCAGCATGTAAGAAAAAAAAACAAGGTTACTCCATGACCACATTTTTTTTTTTCCAACAAAATAATGCTCGCAAGTCCCAAGCAATTCACTTACCCCAAATTTAGTACGCAGTAATACAAGTATTTAAAGGTGCAAAATATAACGTTCCTTTGATATTTTGTCTTTCATGCACATCTGTGGTTTCATTATTTCCTACAAGATATACGATTTTGTCAAATGAAATGGCATCATGCAACCTTTCAATCAGCAACAAAGCCTTCCTGAAGCATGACTCTCACTACGTTTTCTTTATAGATGGAACAGTAATCACATTAATTTTCGAGAACAATGGGCCACAGCAACAAAACTGTGATGATGACCATGACTTTGCTAGTGAACGTTTGTCAGACGTTCCACTTGTGGCACCCAGCCAAGCTAGTGAACATCCTCCAGAGCCAAGCTGTGGAGCGGGCAAAAAACAAGATTTTTAATTAACAAATATAAGGAGCTTAAAGATCTTGTCGGCAAAAAGGGTGGCTTTCGGTAAGTGTTATTTGGAGTAATTGTGAAATGCACCACATGTCTAACCTACACATGTTGTTTCTAACACATGTCAAGTCTTTCTGTTTGTGATCATTGTATTTTTGCATGTATTTCTTTCAGCAAGAAAAAGGCCCTGTGGCAAACACTCGCCGAAATGATTTCTAGAGAGTTTGAATCTCCGTGTAGCCCACTGCAAGTACAGAACAAATAGAAAAGTCTCAAGCGGGCGTACAAACACACCAAATCAAAAAATAACTCTTCAGGAAGTGGAAGGGTGTCTTGCGAATTTGAAGAGTGAGTACAGGTTATATTCAGCTATTCATCACCATACTACTAATATTTTTTTATTTCTAGAGAACTGAGTGATGTTCTGGAAAAAGAACGTCACATCATCCCGACAGTATTGATTACCCCAGGAAGGGTGATTGAAAAGAACAGGTAAAGTTATTGTGCATGAAATGTAAATATTTCATGTGTGTGAGGTTACATTCATTTCAGGGACAGCCACGATGCAAGCAGGCCTAATGATCGTCCACCAGTAAGTGCGTCTCAGGATGCAGAACCTGCCAGACCAGAAGGTGCGGCTGCTGCATATTCTGGCTCAGAAGAACCTGCCGAAATGAAGACCCAGCTGCAGCTGAAGAAGCGTTAAGCCAACCCCATAAAAAAAGAAAAAGGGTGGATTGCACGCCAATTCAATGTCTCCTTCAAGAATTTAGAGAAAGCCGGAAAGGGAGGGAGGAGCAGCGGTCGAAGGCAAAGATGAGCCTTCTTGAATGCCTAGTGACTGCTGTGGAAAGCCAGTGTAGAAAAAATTGCGAATAAATTGAGATGAATAAAAATTGTTTTTCTTAGACAACTACATAGTCGACTCTTTAATGCCATAAATTTTTCACCACATTCTCACTTCGCACTATTGTTCATAAAATACTCATTGAGGCACTAACAGTGCTTTTGAGCAGTAGCCTTTCTCAGACATTCTCTGTATGCAGCCAAACTTCGGTCTGTGACATCATTCTCATCATCATTTCCAACTTCTTCAATCTCTGCAGCTTCTTGGAGCTCAATAAGGAAATCTCTTTTTTTGTTGCATATTTTGTGCAACACACAAGCAGCCATTACTATAAGGCAGCACTGTTTGATTGTAGCAGCGTCAACAAAGTAAAGCCTTCGAAACCTTTGTTTCAGATGACCGAAGGCATTCTCAATGGCAGATCTCTGCTGCGAGTGGCACTTGTTACAGCGCTTTTTCCATGCTGGAAAGGTCTGTTCATTATCTTGGTATGGTGTCAACAACCACGGAAGCAAGGGGTATGCAGAGTCTCCAAGCAGGTAACTGTCTGCACACTTCGTCTAAGCTACCTCGAAGAAAGGGCCTTCACAAAGCACCCTGGCATCGTGTGCAGATCCAGGAAATCCTATTAAAACGTCAATGAACTTGTTCCTGTCATTGCATATTCCCTGGAGCACCACAGATGGAAATTTCTTGCACTTAAAGTACGAATGCGGCGACTCCTCCGGCTTCTTAATCTCTATGTGGCAACCGTCCACACAGCCTATGGTGTTGCGCGGACCTTTACCTTTGCTCCTTAGCAAAAAGCCAGTCTTGATCCGTTCTTGCTCACGACTGTCTGGCCAAGAAATGACTTCTTCGCTTATACTGAGTAAAAAGTTCAATACGCGCTCAATGCATGTGTGCACTGACGACTCAGATATATCAAATCTGTTGGCAAGGGAGTACATACTCGACTAGCTACCGAGGTAGCTCAGCACTACCAAGCAAGTCTTGTCTGCACTAATCTGTGGGCGACCACCAGGAGAATCTGAGAAGAACGAAGACGTCTGGTAGCGGCAACAAGATCCCCGAACATTTCCCGTGACAGCCAAAACATCGTTTAAACTCGAAACCAAAATACCGGTCAACAACGTCTTCACAATACCTTGGCATGCAATTTCGGTCCAATCTCGCCGATTTCATTGCTATTGCTGCGACTAAGTCGTCGTACTCTTCGTCGCTGTCAGAATCCATCAGCTCCATGGCGACATGCACGACAGTTGAAAGCAGGCCAGAGTTCATCTTCGTACAGAAAAGCGACAGGTGTGAGAATGTTAATTCACGAACGAAAACAACACACAAGGACGCACACACACACCCGCACCCTTGTTTGGAGCACAGTAGAAGACATGGCACAACCACTGCACTTCGGCATTCGATTCTGCGTGGCGCTGCTATCCGGCTGCGTCGACACCGCTGCTACTTTTCTGAACTAGCCACGCACCCATCGTGCACCTATCAGGCACCACCATGAACCGGTTCCAAGTGGTGCAGGTGAATCGAACGGACCTTATGTCTCTGAAGGTCTAACTTTTTTCCTTCAGCACATCTTTTGAGACCACCATGAATAATGACAATATTTTTGCCCTCCATGCTGTCCTCTACAACCTCCCGAGCTTTGGCCAGTGTATACATTATGCCAAAGCGATGAAGTGCGTACACAAGTAATCTATCTTACGATCAGTGGTAACGAAGCTCGCTTTATCTGGCATAAATGGTCCTGGTGATTTTCGCCTTTGCAGTTGCATTCTCCGCTTTCTGTGCGTTGAACTATTTTATTTGCATGCTAGAATCTTCTGCTGACGGTTGTCTTCTGTTTGTATATACTGCTAATGGGGGTACATGCGTGTCCACTTCTCGGCGTAAAACGAAAGGCAAAACCGAAGCCTCCGAGATGGCTTTGGCTATTGCGGAGACCAACAGCAAGAATAACCATCTGACTGTGGTTGCGATCATTTTGCGATTAGCCTGAATGACCTACGTGTTCTTATTTTCTAGTTAAAGCCGGAACTTGGAGCCTTCAAAGCTCCATGTGCGTAATTCTGTGTGGTGGTTGTCGCATTATAGGTTGTCGCAGCGTATGCGATATTTATCGTGCACGTCACTTGTCTACTGTTGCATGGCATGCACCGCGGTCAGAGGCTTTGTTAAGCTTCACAATAAAAGTTGTCATAGTTGTCCGTCAAAGCTACTCAAAACTACAACAAGAGACTTACATTATCACACTTATTCATGTGATCGGCTGTAGAGAACGCCAGTGATTCGCTGAGTCAACACGATCGCAATGGTCTATATGCAGCGCTCTCCCCTTTTTGCTTCTCGAAAGCTGCGCAAATCAGTAAATTTGAAGTCCTTTGTGTCCGTGGCAATTCACAACGCAACAGTAACGACGACTGGGGTCTTTTTTCATTAAGCACGGCACTGTTGCGTGTGCTCTTGCTTTTGCCATAGTTCCAGCAAGTGAACCAGCAAGCTCTTGATGATGGTTCAGTGACGCGTCCGACTACCGGAAAGAAATTCATAGATATTTTTCTGAGTGTTGAATGTGCAAACACACCTAATATTTCGCTCAATTTTTGTTTCGCACATGCTAGTTACACCTGGTTGTGCAGCAAACTGTGCAAGGGAGTCGGGTTTGCACTACTGAAAACTGCGTCGACAGGTGGCGCTGCGTGTCCACAAAAATTTGTGTCTTGTTTCTTTTCCCCATCTTTTTTCCTTTTGTTTTACAATTTGGCTAGGACAATCACCGAGTCCATCTGATACAAATCTTCCTATTTATCAACCCCAGAGTCTGACGTCAATGGGCGTGTCGCCATGGAGGCTATCTAGGGGGATGTCAGTTGGTCTTTGAGGCTCGAGAGGCCTGCAGCAAAATCTTGTTTGAATGTCGGCTATGGACCATGAATGACAAAAGGTGGGCACACCGACTATTTCAGTATATATACGTCAAGGGCATCCACACTCAATGGAGGTCACGAGTGATGTTCCTGAGGCAAAAATACGGTCTGCTGGACTAGTATCGAAACCGGGCTTGAGCAGGAGACCACAAAAGACATTCGTGACCGTGTACGAAAAGTGGAGGGAGATATGTGGCAGTCAGCTATGCTCCCCGAGAACACCCTCAACATCTACCGGGAGAACAAGAAAGAAATTGCGACAGAGCCAGCACTGCATGACAACAGCTGCGGTGCTGCCCAGCTCTTCGAGGTGCGAGCGGGCATGCTGGGCACTCTTGACTATAGAAGTCGTTTTAATTGTGCCCTTGAGACGCTCTCGGCTGTGTGCAGGACCTGTGGTGGCGAGCGAGAGACTGTCAAGCACTTGCTTCTCCATTGTTCGGAGCTAACTCCCCCTCCAGTAGAGGGCACCACCTTGCTGCAAACCCTTGGATTTCGTGATGCGGAGGGAAACTGTTGTGGCAAGAACTTGCACATCGCGAAAGCTCGCCTCGAAATGTGGTGTGGGACACAAAGCGGACACACACGGTACTGAAAGTTTGTGACCTGTGAATTCTGACTTTTGTGTTAAGTGCTTTTTTCTTTTTTTTTACAAATTGGCTAGGACTCTTATACTGAGTCCACCCTATACAAAGGGTACTTTAGCCGCATAATATCTATCTACTCCAGAGTCTGACAAGAAAGTAGTTGGCTGGCTGCCAGCCTTACAATTTGTTGCAATCAGATTTGGCGCTTTGCCATTCCGGTGAAACTGGTGTTTTTTTTTTTTTGTAATATGATTACAGCACTCAGAAAACAAATGAAGTATGGAAGTAACGGTGCTCAAAAGAAAGGGGATGGTGACCATTTCCCGGAACAGCCTAACAAAGACGGGAGCATCTAGGTGCGCCATGCACATCACTGCTAATTGAGCATATATGCACGTACTGTGCTTTGCACTTCTCAACTCGGTGGTTGAGGATCGCACATCAGGTAAAAAACAAAAACAAAAAAAAAAAACAACAACAACATGGGGGCTGTACATAACTAAGGTTGCAGGTGTGGAGAATAGATGCAATAGCAGCAAACTTTAAGGTTACACCATAGTCCCTCAATACTGAGACTATAGTTACACGAAGTGAGACTGGCAGCTAACTCATTTGAATCAGATCTCACGTAACTTTACAAAACTCTAGTGTACGAGAATACGACCGTTTCAAAGAGAGCAACACTTTTTGAACATTCTCTTGGCGATGAAAGTGCAGCACGTAGAAGTGTATGCGAGTCGCTGGCTGAAGGCTACTGAGCTAGTTTGCGTACCAGCGATCCCGACCACGTGCTAAGGAGCGAAGTTCATAGTTGCCCGAGCGACACCTGCCCAACCCCCTTCACCGCTCTCGCTCATTTGTTTAATACTCTTCAAGACGGGCGAAGAGCTCCCTCTCTGCTTCGACTACGGGCCTTCCGGGCGGGGGTATTGGAAGCTATCCCACACGCCCCCCGAGTGGTGGAGATGAGTCGGATTGTTTGACCTCTGCTTCAGCCGAGTTCGTGGCCCCGCTCGCGCGCTTTTACTCCCGGATAGAACATACGATGCGCGGCAGTATGTTGTCAATTTGGAATTTTTACAGGACAAGATGGCTACAGCAAAAACCCATCAGAGGTGTCCACATAATTTCTATCGCAATAGTGGGGCTACAGCTCAACTAGATGAGTGTTTAAAAAATGCAGCATTAAACAAATGCAGCTTCACAAGTGCTTTGAATGGGGCTAAATCTTCTCTGAATGTTCTTACTGCTCTAAACTTGTTCACAAAAGCCCTTCTTGCTGCTCCAAGCATGCTCCAAAACATCTTTCTGGCTGCTCCAAGCCTGCTACAAAAACCACTTTTGACAGCACCCAAAGCCATGTACCCTGTTCTACCCCTGCAAGTGGTGCAGAGTAGCACTTCT